GGATTTTTTGAGAAAAAATTTGTGCTGCAGCAGTTGAGTGAATGCCTCCTCCAAATGCAGAATGTGTTCCTCTAAAGACTTGCTAAACACCAAAATATCATCAAAAAATACAATGATAAAACGACGAAGAAAAGGTTTAAATAAAGAGTTCATGGTGGATTGAAATGTAGCCGGGGCATTACACAACCCAAACGGCATAACCAAGTATTCGAAATGACCTTCGTGTGTGCGAAAGGCTGTCTTTGGGATGTCAGCTGGATGCATGAGAATTTGATGGTACCCGGAACGTAAATCCATCTTCGAAAAACAACTGGCCCCATAGAGTTCATCGAGCAGCTCGTCTATGGAGGGAATTGGAAAACGATCGCGCTGTGTGATGGCGTTGAGGGCCCGATAGTCAGTACAAAAACGCCATGAACCATCCTTCTTCTTGACAAGTAAGACAGGAGAAGAAGAAAAGGCTATTTCTATTTTGGATGATACCGGTTGTCAACATTTCAGATGTCAAGCGTTCGATCTCTCTTTTCTGAAAATACGGGTACCGATACGGACGAACATTGACAGGCTGAGCTCCGTCCAACAATGGAATATGATGATTTGTCGATCTGGGTGGAGGAAGAACGGTCGGGCTGTCAAAAAGAGTTGCAAATCGAGTGAGGAGGTCAGCAATTTCAAGTGGAACGGTGTCAGGAGACGGTGCAGTCGGTGGTGACAGTGAGCCTTGGAGGTGAAACATTTCAGTAATGGAATTGGTAGAAACCATGCGACGCATTTGGGCCACCGAAACACTTTGGGCCGCCATGGTGGGATTTCCTTGGAGAGTAACAACTTTGCCATCCCTAATAAACTTCATGGTCAAACTATCGAAATCCGTAAGGATGGGCCCCAATGTTTTTAGCCATTGGACCCCCATGACCAAATCGGCCCCAGAAATAGGTAACAGGAATAAATCCACAATAAAAGAGTGATCACCAATAACTAAAGGAATTTGCTTACACCAAGAGTTACAATTTAACTCCTCACCGTTGCCCACCAAAACTTGGAACCCTTGGGCTTGTTGCACTGATAGGCCCAAAAAACGGGCGAGCCTTGGCTGAACGAAATTGTGGGTACTCCCACTATCTATGAGGACTGTCAGTTGGCCTTTACCAATTCGGCCCTGTACGCGTAGGGTCTGAGGACCGTGTGACCCAAAAATGCGTGGAAGCTTATCTGAGCAGCGTCTTCCTAGCCGTGAAGGTTCGAAGGTGCAGCAACAAGAGGAGTCGCATCAGTATCTTCCATTAATAACTGATGCATGTCAGGAATGTCCTCTGTTTCGGGCGACACAAGCAGAATCATGAAGGTGCGTTTACAGCGATGCTCGCGATGGTATTTCTCATCGCAATAATAGCGTAAACCTTTCTCGCGCCGGACCTGAAGTTCGTCTGGAGATAAACGTTTAATCTGCGGTTTAGATCCGGAAAACGATTTAGGTTCAGAACCTATTGCATGACTGGATGGAGATGCAACACCCTTGTTCATCGTTGCAGTTAACAACAGAGCTCTGTTATATCCCCCTGAAGACGACGTAAAAGAATGTCGAGGTTTAAAAGCTGATTTCTGGTCGCTTAATTTGTCCTCTTGGAGATGGGCTAGCCCGATTGCCTGGGCTAAGGACATAGGTTGAAGAGCTTGAACATCCCTGCGAATGTCCGGTTTGAGACCAAAGATAAAGCAGCTGAGGAGGTAAGGAGGTGGTAGTCCAATACATCTGTTTGCTAAGACTTCAAACTGAGATTGGTACTCACGCACAGATCCCGTTTGGAGAAGTTTCATGAGGTCACCCTTGGGGTTCTCATATTGAGAAGGGGCAAAACAGAGTTCCAAAGCGTGAAGTAATGCCGACCACGAAGTGACCTGACCATTGGCAAACATCCATTTATACCAATTCAGAGCTTCGCCTTCCATGTAAAAGGAAGCAATTCTGGGCCGTTGGTCTTCAGGTGTACCATGAAATTCAAAAAACTGGGTGATTTTGAAAACCTACCCTAAGGGATCTGAACCATCAAAGCGTGGAACATCCAACTTGATGGTGGCAGCTTTAATTGCGGTAGGAATGGTTGTAGTGTGAGTTGTGGAAGTAGCATTTGAGGCATTGGAACCTGACGAAGTTACTCTAGCCTCCAAGGAAGAAACCTTATGAGCCATGGTTTTTAATTCTTGTTGAAGGACCAGCTGGGATTGCAGAAGCTTGGCGAGGGTGGAATCAATGGGTTCGGGAGGTGGAGTGTGGCCGGTCATGGTGAAACGTACTCAATGAAGGCACCAATTGATAACAGGGAAGTTATCTATCAGTGAATAAAAACAGAAAAAAGGATAAGGATCTCAATTCGAGGAAAGATTGCGCCTCCTAAACCAGGATTTCTGGAATGAACAATTTCTTATTTTTCTTGTGGTAAGATACACAGGTATTTATAACCCTACTCTCTCACCAATAACAGAAAACAAAGGCATGCACCAGCATCTACACGCTTGGCATGACTTATGCCTGCTAACAGAATGAAAAACAGAATGGAAATACACTCTCCCCCATTCAATTAACTACAGACAAAAACAAATAGTCACTCCTCTCAACCAAGTATACTATGCAGTAAAATCCCTCATCCACTTGGGCTTGACCTTGCTCCTCTTAGACATCCTGACCTTTGTATTGGGCTGATACTCTTCTATGTTTTCATCCATTTTCCCTTATGAGTTTATTGGACTATTGTCAAGTACTGCGCCTACCAAGGAAAATCCATTCTTATCAAGAGATCTCAAAAAATTATTTGAAATAAAAAAAATCATCTGATTTAGATATCGAATAAAAAATAATAATTTTTCAAAATTTTATGATAACGAAACTAATATAATTATACCACTTGACACAATTATGTGAGTAAAAAAATGAAAGCTGCTATACTCATCTGAAAAAAATAAAATAAGTGTCAGGGGGTCACGACATTCGATACCACTGAACCTCCACACTACTAAACAACCCCGTTATAAATATTTAGGAATCAAATAACAAATAAATACATTAAAAATCCCCCTGCTGGTGAAAGAGCCGTGGAAATGACCTTCGGTATACAGGAGTATATAAACTCACTGATAGTGATTTCTCTTTTACTACTTTCCACGTAATACATTTTTAGGGTGTGTTTGGTATAAGAGAAATTTTTTTGGTGACCGGGAATCATGATTAATGGGAATTCAGTAGAAATTGAGTTTACTTGGAATCTTACAAAAGATGTGTTTGGTTCGCCAAAATATTACCGGGAATATTGGATAAAAATTACTGATTCCATATTTGGTTTATAACGAAATATGACTTGGAATATGAGGTTATTTTACAAAAATAACCCCAAACTATTTTTATTTTTGTAATTGATAGATTGGGTCTAGATTTTTATGTATATTGGGATATTTTTGTCTCAAAATTTATTGTTGTGCTTTCCCTTTACTTGGTATTCTGATTGGTATTCCAAATTACCATATTATTTTTGGTAATCTGAATAGTGACTTTTCTTTATAAATCTAATTACCGGTAATCCTTGGATATCCGAGAATCGTAATTTATTCCTTCTACCAAACGTAATAATTACATTTACCAAAAAAGAATTACCGATAATCCTCTCCAAAAATTTGAACCAAACACTCGCAGGCTTATTCAAGTTTCCAATTGTCTCTTGAGAATCGATACGACATACAATGTTTTGGGTTCTGCATCTGTGTATGTATTACACTTGGACGGAGCTAGTGTAACCACAGATGCAAAAGGTGACGACACGAAGGGACCAAATTCGTGTCCAAAATTATGCTCTTGGTTGTCTTATTCTCTTGTCTCGCGTCCAAATTCAGTTCACTTTTATTTTGTCCGTTATTGATTTCCGTACGTTTACGAAGGTTATGCTTTATTGAATTATATCTGTTAATTAATTATTATTATTCTATATTTTTGTGACTTTAATATTTTTACAATTGACATAAACAAATTATTTACATTTATTTTTAAAATGATATTATTTTGTGTTAAAAAATTAAAAATTATTATAATCTTGAAATAAGTTATAGTTACAAAAATACTTTAATTTTTGCTTCAAAATAATATTATTTTGAACTCAATATAAATAAGTTATCACAATAGAAAAAACAAACTTTTTTTTTATTTGCTATTATATTTAGGCAGAGAATTGCAGTAAAATCATTTTTGTATAAGAATAATTTTACTTGCAAACTTGGGAATTAATTCTTAATTTTTTATAAAAAAATAAACACTTTTTTAAATTAAAAAAATTACGAAGCTCGTGGTACGTTGTGTTCTACGACTATATGCTATAGTACTATCTACTTATCTAGTGTTTGTTGCCGCTTTAGGTTTAGTCTGTTTAATTTAAAAAAAAATTAACTTTTTAGAATATTCATACCACGCACATAAAAATTTAATTATTTATTTAAGGGATCTAATATTTTTCACTTTAATCAACACATATTAGGAAAAAATTATATTTATAAATATCTTTTATAAATTCAATTATGTAATTTAGGAAATACAAACACCTAAATATGTGTTTTTTGAAATACATAATTAAGTTTGTAAATAAAAAAATTTATAAATATAACTTTCTATCATATATTAATATAAAAATATCAAATTAATAAAGTAAGTTGACGACAAAAATCAATGAATTTTTATACACGTTTTTAATTTTTTTTCTTATTATTTAATATTTGTTGATTAATATTCGTAAATTTTTGGAGGCATAGATTGATAGAAAATAAAAAAAGAAGAAGAAGAAGTCAGAAACACAAGAATATCTTTGATATTATGAATACACCGGAAACTGAGTGTATCTTTCACTGATACCGTGACACATGTTTTATTTATATTAAATCTCTCTCTTTTAATTTTAAAATAAAATTTATTATTGATTTGAAAAAAATAAAATGTACTAAAAGTGAAAGATGTACCAAATTTATGCACCAAACAAATTTCCCAGAAACACTAACAAAAGGAGAAGTATAGAAATATGAGGTTGATATGACTTGTGAGCGGTGAGAGACAGTAACAGCATCCCAGGATGTCGAAGGTGGTATGTGTGACTGGCGGGAGTGGATGCATTGGGTCATGGGTGGTTCATCTCCTTCTAGATCGCGGCTACACCGTCCACGCCACCGTCCAAAATCTCAGTTAGTTACTTATTTTCATTAATTTCAATTGCACTAAAACACATAACCAAACCCCCTTCTAACTTATTTTTCCCTTTTCTGAACTAACAGACGATGACACCGAAACGAAGCATCTAGAAGCCCTCGAAGGAGCACCCACGCGCCTCCGTCTCTTCCAGATCGATCTCCTCGACCACGACTCCATCATCGCCGCAGTCCGTGGCTGCGCCGGCGTTTTCCACCTCGCCTCCCCATGCATCGTCGACCAAGTCCATGACCCTCAGAAGGAGCTTCTGGATCCCGCGATTAAGGGCACCATGAATGTCCTTGCGGCGGCCAAGGAAGCAGGTGTGCAGCGCGTGGTTCTCACTTCCTCCATCTCCGCGATTATCCCTAGCCCCTCTTGGCCTTCTGATGTTGTCAAGACAGAGGATTGCTGGACTGACATTGAATACTGCAAGCAAAAAGGGGTTTGTTTTCTTCTCTGTGTTTTTTTGGGTACCCATTAAGTGTAACTGTGTCTGTGTGAGACTCTGTGAGTGTGACACTGACTTTAGCTTCTTTTTTTTTTTTTTGGAACTGGAATGGAACAGTTGTGGTATCCAATGTCCAAGACTTTAGCTGAGAAAGCTGCTTGGGATTTTGCCAAGGAGAATGGTTTGGATGTTGTGGTGGTGAATCCTGGTACTGTCATGGGCCCTGTTATTCCACCAAGACTTAATGCTAGTATGCTCATGCTTCTGCGCCTTCTTCAAGGTGAATTATATATAGGTGACTAATAACCTCATTGTTTGCAAATTCCTATTTCTAGTTGTGCTTTAGGAGTTGCTTTGATCCTAGCTATGTTTGAGTTGCTTTCTGCTATGTTCTCTGTGAAAATTGGCTATGTGAGCTGGGAAAGTCCCTTAATTGTTGGCCCTAATGCTTATGTTGAACTTGTATATAAAATATTCTCAATTTAGGATTTTTAGGGGTTTACCAAGAATTGTGATTTTGTCTCTGTTGTGTTGTTGCAGGCTGCGCTGATACATACGAGAACTTTTTCATGGGATCGGTCCACTTTAAAGATGTAGCATTGGCGCATATTTTGGTGTATGAGAACAAAGCAGCAGCTGGCAGGCATATGTGCGTTGAAGCTATCTCTCACTATGGCGACTTTGTCGCAAAAGTTGCTGAACTTTATCCAGAATATAATGTGCCTAGGTAAGTAAGCCAAACTTGCTAGATGTATTGACAATGCAATGCAATGCAATCATCTACGGGTAAGTACCTTAAGATATTAGTGATGGTGCTTGGTCCTTGAATGGGTTGTTGAAGAACTGTTCATTCTTATTCTGAACACCAAGCAAATTGGTTAATGGGCAGGACAATGGTTTTCAGTCATGCACTAACTAATCAATCATCGGGTTGTGGTTTCTTGTTTTTAAGTTATGAACTATACTTTACCCTACATGGCTTTTTGCTGCAATGAATAGTTCATGTTGTATTCTTTCTCAAACATGCAAAAGGAAGGAGTTATTAGTAAGTTTGAGTAGGGATTTGAAGCTGAATATTTCTTTTAGATTAGCCAGTGTGTTGTGATCTTAATCAAAATATAAGGTTGTTGTAGTGCCACTAGTGATCATATTATCCAAAACTTGCTCATACTCTGTGTTTCATTTCCCCTTAAAGGATACCACGGGATACCCAACCAGGATTGTTGAGAGCAAAGGATGGGTCGAAGAAACTTATGGATTTGGGTTTGCAGTTCATTCCAATGGAGAAAATTATTAAGGATGCTGTAGAGAGTTTGAAGAACAAAGGGTTCATTTCTTGAATGATGCTGCTGCTGCTATTTGGAACCCCAGTTATGCCACTCAGTATAGACTATAGTTAGGTGACGGGCTGCAATATGAGTCCTTATGGCATATGAGTTGAGTCTGTATAATCTGTTTCCTCAATGCTTATGCAAAGTGACCCTGACTTGAATATTGTCATTTCTTTTTCTTTTTTTTTCCTTTGAATAAAACTAAAATAAATATGGAGAGTTGAGTCTCAATGAGTCCTTATGGCATATGAGTTGAGTCTGTATAATCTGTTTCCTCAATGCTTATGCGAAGTGACGCTAACTTGAATATTTATTGTCATTTCTTTTTCTTTTTTCCCTTTAAATAAAACTAAAATAAATATGGAGGTTAAGGACTTGAAATTATATGTCTGTTTCCTGAACTTTTCTTCGTGCTTTAAACATGCTGGGAACTGCAGATCACATAAATACTTTTTATGATCATGTGGGAAAAAATTATGAAAATTGTCATGTATTCTGATTCTATTTGTAGAGATTGGTGATTTGATCATTTCCGTAGATATTGAACTACTCTTAGCGTAGTTCACGCCATACCATCAATAGTCAAGCTACCAATATTATATACTAAATAAACCTTTCGTAGTCAGTCTCCCAGCAAATTATAGATTGCATTTGTGTATATATTTTTTAAGCTACCATTCATGATTGTATTACTGTTTAAAAGCAAATAAACAAGTCTTCCAAGCTATCCTTCAAATTCAATTTTCATAAGCATATGGGTTCATTAGGAAAAACCTGAATTCTATTAATTGTTACCAATTCACATTGTCTTTTACTTTAAATAATTAGAAGTTATAATGTACAAAAAAAAATTAAAAAAAATGTACGTCTGTTATGCTGAATCCCTTACATTGCCATAGTTTTAACAGGCTCTAAGTATAGGGTCTAATATTCTGAATTGAGAATCCAGCTACATTGCTATACATCTCAGTTTTTACACCACATTATACACTGAATGCCTAATCTACTTGTCACATATTATTCACTCACAAATGAGTCGATTGCCCTGACCCTAGTGGATTACTCTTGTTTAACCCCATCTAAATTTTTTTGTACTAAAAAAAAATGAGTCGATCATACAGTGTGGAGATTATACATTGCAATAAAGATTATACCAAAATCACGGTAAGAGAAAACAATAGTATATTGAATAGAGTTTCAACGGATTTTAAAGTAACCACATACACTACCCAAATTTTTTTATTAATAAAAAAAAAAATTGAAGAAGAATAAGGAGGAGGAGGTTGATTACCATTGGATATCAGGACAAATGTGGGCTAACCCAAAAGAAGACTTCACTCTCTCAAAGATGGCCTGGACGCTGTTCCTTTCCCCATACATAAGAAGGGCTTTATACCCTAGCTGTTACTACTTACTACAGAGGTTTAGATTTTCCCGCAGAGAAAAACAACTACGGGTCCCACCAAGTTTTTTGAAAAAATAAAATGAAAATAACATGGCACAAATTTTGGTGAGTCTATGGCTGCAAAAAAACTCCACTAATGATGCAGAAGAAGTGTTTTATCCATATAAGAAAAACAGAAATTTGGAGTGAGTGATAAAAGTTAGTGAACAACTAATATCTACTACAGCAAAAAAGGGAGGAGCAAAGGCAAGAGCTTTTCAAAAGATAAAGTAACAGTAATTACTTGCAACAAAATCAACGCTTTTCATAAAAAGAAAACTACGTTTGAAAACATACTTTGCAGAGAATAAGATAATAACGCATAACAAAAATGATAGGGTTTAACAACTCACCTGTTTGCGATAAAATAATGCTATCAAGAAAAATATTTTCCATTTTTATAAGAATATATTTTATCAAGAGAAAAATAATGCTATGAAGAGAAAAAAATAATTGATTTTTTTTTTTGTCTTTATCATATCTCTTAATCTTTATTCATAATTTTGAATATGACAACATAGATTGTAATTTTATATATAATTATTTTCGTCTAAAAAATGGAGATAGGTTAAGGGGTGTATTTGATTAGGATTTTAAAAGACTTTTTTGAGATAAAAAATCTTACCGATTTTAAATGACATTTTAGAATTGGTGAGACTTTATATACTTTTTTAAAAGACTTTTTTTACAATCAATATTTCATAGGATTTGATTTTAAAATTTGAGAGGACAATATGGATTAATAAGATTTTAAAAAATCATATGAATTTTTAACAAACATTCAAAATTACAAGAGTCAATACAAAAGGAAAAGGTTATACTTACAAACTATTTTTGTTTACAATATTTTACAACTATATCATTCATTGCAAATTAAATATTAATTAATAAGTTTGATTTGCGAAAATAATAACCATTGATTGACGAAAATCAACGGTTAAGATATGGTTGTAAAAGGTTGTAGACAAAAATAGGTTGTAAGTATAATCTTCTTCATACAAAAATAACAAAGAAATACAATGAAATTAATAAAAAAAGTAAAACCAAATATAATTTTCTCAATCAGTACAACATAACGGGGAAGGATATACTTACCACAAAAAAAGTTCACAACCTTTATAATTAACTTAATCACCATTGATTTCCGTTAATCTAACGGTTAAAATTTATTGAAAATTATTAGGTCGTATTTATTAATTCCCAATAAATTATAATCGTTAGATTGAAGAAAATCAATGGTGATTAGGTTGGTTGTAAATGTGGTAAAAAATTTTGGTGGTAAGAATATCTTGCCCCAAACATTAATATAATTTTTAACAAACATTCAAAATTACTAAACAACAGCTTTTCACATATCTAATGGGTTGAAAATCATCTTCTTCATTTGGTATCAAAGCTATGCATATATGATTATAAGACTCATTTTTTTTTTAATTATAAAAGTAATTCTAAATTTGCATATAGAACCTAAAGTTCATGATAAAATTTCGTTTGAAATTTTTTGCAATTGATCTTGAAAAATTTGGGGTTTTTAGAATTTTCTAACCATATATCATATGCATATTTTCATTGAATATTAAGAAAATTTTGAATCTGAAATTTTGGGTTTAATTACATGAAAGTTTTGAAAATTTCTCAAATTTTTTTCAATCGATACATTGAAACCTTAAATTGCTTTGAGACTTTTGAGAAACAAGCTTTTAGATATCTATTGACATAAAAATTGTTTGAAATAGTTTCCAATAGTGAAGGAATTTCGTTCATGAATGTATTGTTACGAAATATAAGGTTCATATTATGAAAGTTTCAATCTTTCTTTAAATTAATTTTGTTTCATTGATGTAAAACGAAAATAATACGAAAGTTCCCCTGTTATTATTTCACTGTTTTATGTTATTTTTAATACAAAAAGCACATTTTGTGTCAAGAAAAACTGCGACCCATAGCTTGAAAAATCACTTTTTAAACTTCCAAAATTTCTAAAAAATGGCTCAAAAATATGTTATTTTTGAGACATATTATATTAAAATCTCGTTGGTTTGTTGTTTTTGAGTTATTTTGTGATGAAAATTGCTCAAAAATATGCTTTTTTTTTTCTTTTTTTTTTGACGAAGCTCCAATGACGGAATCCAATTTCGAGTAGTCAACCTACCATAGGAAGAAGAAAACACTGCAATAGAAGAATCTCAAGAGATCCTTAGAGTTGGGGTGAGATTGTGAGAGAGACATCTTATTTATATTTTTCACTAAAAAGTCTCACGAAATCTACACCAATAGAAAATCCATTAAAATCGTCGAATTTTTGAATACCACAAGATTGTGATTCCATTGTTTAAAATCCTGATTGAATACCAAGGATTTGGACAGATTCTAAAATAATCCTTTAAAATCCTAATCGGATATCACGTGATTTTTTTTCAATCCATTAAGGGGATGTTTGGAACATGGAAAAGTATTCTCACCCGTGTTTGGTATAAAGAATCCTAAAAAAAACTACCCATCATTTCAATTTTATACTAAACACAACTAAAAAATTATCCCACAAAATATATGGTATTATTTTTTACCATGAAATCAGATTCGGATTTTAATAAAAAAAGACCAAAATGCACCTTCCTTTGAGGAAGAGTCTGCTACAATATTTAAAAATTATGGATAAATTGATAATTTCTGTTAATATTCTCATCAGTATTTTATAATCAATCAAATGTACCATTAGTAAAATTATTCGGTAAAATTTTGACCAACCAAATAACTTTTCGTTACTTTCCTGGGCTAAATAATTTTTTCCATATTCTCATAAATATTTTTTTCTTTAGGAAAAAAAAAATCTCTTGTACCAAATTTCCCCTAAAATCCTAATTAAATATCAACGAATTTTTTTGTCCAAAAACAATCCTTTAATATCTTTTAAAATTTCAATCCAATACACCCTGATATTCAATCGCAGTTATAAAAATTTTGTTGCGAATGTTTGTTTTTAAAGTCCAAAATTCTCTTACTAAAGAAAAAAGGTCCAAAATTCGTTTTTTTGTTTTCGTAGATAAACATCCCTAATAGAAAGGATGCAAGTTTTTTTGGCCAAGTATATAGAGGTCCGCAACAGGTTACTTTGTCTTTATGTGCACTAAGCCATAACTTGCAGTGTTTGTAGTTGTACTTGTACACAAACAACTTCGCTTTCTCTCTTTCCCGCTCCTAACAAACCCTAGATCGCAACATGTCTGGAATGTATGGTCAAGATGGTGGTGGCTCTGCGTCCTACGGAGCCACCGGCGGTTACGGAGGCGGAGGTCACGGTGGTCGGGGAGGTGGAGGGTTTGGTGGTCGAGGTTTGTAATATTGTATCCCTTCTTTTTTTCCCCCCTGATTTATCGTCAGTCTTAAAATGTCTTAATTTGATGTGAATTGTTACAGGTGGTGGTGGTGGATATCAAGGTGGAGATCGTGGTGGCCGAGGGGGTGGCCGCGGCGGTGGAGGTGGTAGAGATGGAGACTGGCGCTGCCCTAATGTTAGGTTTGAGATTTTGGTCTCTGATTTTCTTTTCGATTTTTACACTCTTTTCCCCTCGAGAATATTTCATATTTTTTTAATAATTCGAGGTGTGGATAATGCTTCTGTTGATTCTTACGTTTCTGTATTTGATTGGAAATTGCCATATATAGTTGTGGGAACTTGAACTTTGCGAGGAGAGTTGAATGTAACAAATGCGGTGCTCCATCTCCTACTGGTGCTAATGATAGAGGGGGTCGTGGTGGCAGCGATGGTGGTAGTGGTGGTGGTGGTGGTGGTGGTTATAATAGAGGGGGAAGCAGTGGGGGATATGGCAATAATAGTGGGGGTAGATCTGGTAACTATGATGGAGGAAGAGGTAATGACTATAATAGTGGTAGGGGGAATAATGATGGTGGTAGAAGTAGGGGAGGCAATAGAGGTGGTTCATTTAGTGGTAATCAAGGCAGAGAAGATGATAGATATGGTCAAGTTCCTCCTCCTACAGCCCAATATCATGGTGGCGGTGGAAACTATCCACCCACTAACAATTCTTATGGTGGAAATAATTCGAATTATGGAACTGAAGCAGTTCCTCCGCCTGCAAGCTATACTGGTGGACCTCCATCGTATGGGGGTAATACTGGTGGCTATGGTGGTGGAGATAATCTCGGTGATGCACGAAGTGGTGCTAGGGCTGGGCCAACTGTTGGATATGACAGTGGTAATGGAGCTGGTAGTCGGGGTGGATTTGGTGGAACTCCTGCTGAGCCCCCAGCTAAGGTGAAGCAGTGTGATGAGAATTGTGGGGATTCTTGTGACAACTCTAGAATCTACATATCGAACTTACCACCAGATGTGACTATTGACGAATTGAGGGAACTTTTTGGAGGCATTGGACAAGTAATTTTCTGATCTATTGACTTTTATATGAGCTCTTCATAGAGGGTTATTTGCTCTATGAGAAATGGTTTGCATGAAAGTGCCTTTTTCAGATTAAATTCATATATTATTTTTTTGCTTCCTGAGCATGTTTGTATGGGTTATATCAGTGAATCCTTCTGTATTTACATAAGAAATAGTTGACCCTCTCAGTGGCTTCCTGACATGTTTGATTGTTTGTTCATTTCTCTTTGTGAACGGCCAAGGCAGAACATGCTAGAGATTTTGTTACTTGTGTTGTGTCTATCTTTGATTTTGTCAATCTGTCAAGTTTCATGCTCACAGGGCACTTTAACTGTTTAGGTTGGAAGAATAAAGCAGAAGAGGGGGTATAAAGATCAGTGGCCTTGGAACATAAAAATATACACTGATGAGAAAGGAAGCAACAAGGGTGATGCTTGCCTTGCCTATGAAGATCCCTCTGCAGCACATTCTGCTGGCGGTTTTTACAATAGTACTTGATCCATCCGCTCTCCTGTTTTTAAGATGCTTATATTTTATTTTGTATCATAAAGAGTCACTTACATTGAATCTTCCGTTTCAGATTATGATTTGAGGGGTTACAAAATTAGTGTTGCAATGGCAGAAAAATCTGCACCAAGAGCTCCACCTGCATATAACCATGGGTATCCATTATTTATCCTTTACACACTGAATGCTGACTCTTATATATATATATATATATATATATATATATATATATATATATATATATATATATACATAGGGATAGGATCAACTTACACCGGTGTAAGAATAATAAGTCTTACACCAAATTTTAACCATTGATTTACGTGCATCTAATGGTTGAGATTTATTGGGAATTAAAAATTAATTAATGAATAAGACTTAATAAATCTAAACCGTTAGATGCAGAAAATCAATGGTTAAGACTTGGTGTAAGACTTATTATTTTTACACCGGTGTAAGATGATCCTGCTCCATATATATATGGCTTTAATATTTTTTCAGTGAATGCAGATAAGTTATCTACATTCACTAGTTTTGGATTGAAAAATTAAAATATTATAATGATAAAGACTATTATAACCTTGGAATAAATTATAATTACAAAAACACCTTGATTTTCGTCCCAAAATGACGTCGTTTTGGGCTTAATAGAGATTATCTTCATTCATTACAGAAAAAACGAACCCTATATATATATATATATATATATATATATATATATATATATATATATATATATATATATATATAGTAGCCACAGCAGCAGCAGCACCACGTTTAATAATAATGATAAAGATAAAAAATAATGTCTGTGTTTTTTATAATCTTAGGGATTTTGCTTAAAGATAGTTCATTGGCTTTATGCTGGTATTCATTTGTTAGAATTTGAATAAGAGGTTCGCAATATGTTTTAGATTCTTCTGATTGATTCTTTTTTGGGTTAACTGAAATATGCTTTTTTTCTTTCTCTCTCTTTTCCCTTCCTTTTTTTGTGTGTCAGGGTACTCAAGCGAATAAATTTCCTAGTAGTTAAGGATAGTTAGCATTTAGCAACCTCTGGTTTACTGACATATATTTGAAAACCAATAAATCTTATTTGAATATGTGTATCATCTAAAGCTTTTCTTGTATTTAATATAATAATTCAAAAGTTACACCATAAGATGAAATATGTTACATACAGAAAAACCAAACAGAGTAGTCCATGTTGTGTTTCATTGTACTATTGCGCTGCCACATCACTTTTTGACGGAGTGGCCATAGCTGCCAGAAATCATGGCTGTTATTGAGGTTTCATGGCCATTACTTCAGTCCCGCGGGTAAAAATACCACTTTACCCCTCGTTCTTTCGTGTCACATCTAATTTTTTAGAATATCTTGGTGTTTTCCATGGTCTCCCCCGCTACCCTCTGATATGAATGATCCGGTGATGCATTTTCCAAATATCTCTTAGCAGCCCAAGCTTTTTCCGGCAAAACCTGCCCCCTTTCCGGCATCTGCTGTGTTGGTTCTCAGGTCTTTGCTGTGTTGCCTCTGTTTTTCTCAGCTTCTTTTGTTTTGCATAATTCTAGCTCAACTCAGTTTCGCACAGTTCTTCCTCCCTTTTTTTAAATAAGATATTTTGGCAGTGGCTAAACTTGTTAGACAATTGTTATTTGTTAGACAAATTTCCCTGCTTCAGTTTTGCATTGTTTGATTATTGACTGTTAAATTATGCCTTAGATTGGTAAACTATGACTTTTGATTATTAATGATGAATGTCTTTAATTTTGACTAACTTTTTTGCTTTCTTGCATTTAATGTGTGCTGCATAAATTATTTATCTTGTGTCCATAGTCTTCGGTAATTGGTATAGTGGCCATCCCACTGTGTGCTATCCTGCAATTTTGTTATTGGGGTCAGCTACTGTGCTCCACTATCCGGGATTGACAACTATGTAACCAGGCTTATTTAAAGCTCATACTTCATAACAAGTGTATTGGTGTCTTCATTTGTTGTGATTAATGATCTGTTTAGTCTGCCTGCAATCTAGATATCAAGAACTGGCTGAGTAATCTTGTTATAAATCTTTGAACTTGTTTCTTTGTGGATGTTTGGTGTGGTAAGTGGTGAAAATCACATTAGGATAAGGCCCCAATTAGACACCCTAATGTTTAGCTCGGTGCATATATATTTAGTTAGACCTTGGCTCGTTGCATGTGACAGCAAGGTTTGTTTCTATGTTGAAGAATACAAATCAAAGCTGGAGTATTGAGCTCATTACCAATCAATCAATTATCAATGCAGAAATGACAAAATGTGAAAAGACTATTTGATTGTATTTATTAACTATGCAAATGACCTTGTAAGTTGTAAATGAATGTTCATATTTATAAATGGATATATTAATTGTTTTGTTTTTTGTTGTTTGTTTTTCATTCTATAGGGGCAATAGGGGTGGCTACGGTGGAGATAGACGCAGAGAAAATTATAGAGATGGAGGTGGTTCTGGACCTGACAGGCGTGATAATTATGGTGGAAACCGTTCACGACCTTACTAAGAGCTTCAACATTGAACATTTTATGTACTATGATTTCTGGTCTGAGGGATTTGTTTTATTCAGTTGGCTGTTTTCTTGAAATGGAAGCAAAGAGGTAGGTTGTTCGCTTACTTTTGAGCAAGACCTCTTCGCTTCTTTTTGTTTCATTTGTCACTCGCTTGGGGGTTTTTACTTTTAGGAAGGGATTAGTTTACTTATGTGAATGTTTTTATAGAGGCAAGTGGATAGTCTTCAAATTTCTTGCTGCTAAGGTAGGTTAATTGTTTCAGGTGAGTGCTGCTTTAATGAAAACATGCTTTTTACTTGCTTGGAATTTGAACCATGTGTCGTTATGTGGATAAATGCTTGCATCCTTGGCTCATCCCATGTGGCATCTGGTTCAAGCAGGTGGTGGCATTGATAGGATATTTGGTGTTAAGTAATAGTTCCATGGATCAATAAATCCCAATTAGAGAGTATTTAAGTTGTAATTTGTTTTCTTCTTACACAGAAAAATAGTGTTCTGGCAGCTTGTTGCATTAGAGAAACACTGGATGTTCTTATTGAATTCATGCATTGTTCTTTAGGTTACGTGATAGCTGTTCTGATAAGTTCTGATTTGAACAGTTTAATTTGCTTCGTAGCAGCTCAATATAAAATTATATGAAGCCGGGAGTGCAAATTTTACGCATGATTAAAGAATTCAATGAACTACATACCAATAATAATTAAAAAAAGAGAGAATGCAATGAACTTGTTCAATATCCTTTATGCTTTAGAAATAAAGTTACCTCGAGTTAGAACTATAATATGTAGCAATTAGAATGCCTTGAGTTGCCACTAGTGAAGATTATATATTTTGTCGTATATATAATTCAACTAGTTGTATTGCATGTAGCTATTATATACTGTTTTAGAATGTATATATTTTCTCTATTTTCTTTACTGTTGTTTGGTTTTGGGACTTCGAAGGACTATTGAAGTGAACTTCAGCTACATAAATGGTTTGCCAATGTTATTTTTATTAGAATTATATTTTTATCATGTCTTTTTGAAGATTAATGAGATAAATTAGTTCCAAATAGCATTATTTTAGTTCATATATGTGGCCACCCAACTTCTGTCACACTTAAAATTAAAACTCTATGCCCAACTTATTGATGATGTGCTTCTACTTATGAAAGTATTTTGTTTTGAAATACGTTTCCTGATTAATAAAATGCCTACACTACTATATCATTATAAAACCGTTCATTTTTTTAAATAAATAATCAACTGGCGAAGAGTTTTAGAAGATTTTTTATTTTCATGTTACCTCCTTGCATTAAGTTTGGACCATCTGTAAATTAAACTTGTTAGCAAGTAGGAATATCATGTAATGCATGTATTCTTTGTCAGTTGGTTCAAACTAATATTTTAAATATTAGTGTTGGTTCTGGCTGCCACATGGTGAGCCTCCAACTGTGGAAGTTCATAGCGGTATTCTTTGCATGTTTTTTTTTTTTTTTTTTTTTTTTTTTTTTTTATGTTTAATGGTGACTAAGGATAGTCCATATGGTACGAGTTGCTTGACTTTTGGTTCTCACATCAACCACGGGTGGATTTGTTATCACTCCTAAAATGTCCTTCCTTGAGTTGAATGGTTTATATACTTCAAATCCATTGCTTGTTAGTTTAGCTTCTGGTCAACGTAAGAGTAAATAGGTATTTCAATGCAAGTGGTTTCAAATGTGCTATAAATCCCTAGTGCCCTAGTTAGCAAGTCTGCCGTCTTTAAGCCTTCTTTGGCTTTGATCAATTCTTGCAGGTTGCTGTCTGCAGTGTTGTTCGTGCAATGCCAAAGTTGTTTTGCTTTGCGGTTAGGTTATTGTATAGATTGATGCTGTATTTATGTTATAAAGTTTTGTTCACCAAGTGAGGTGAAGGTAGATTTTGGTATATATGTCTTTGTCTATTTGTTCGTAAACATGACAGTTCTATAAGAAGAAACGAAATAATTATTAGCTATTAAAACATTTAATGCAATTATTGATGATACGATTAGTGCCATGGTGAGGTGAGAATTTGATATTCAGCAGAGAGAAAGAGATGTTTAACTTTTTCGTTAGTTTAAATTTGATTTGAGCATGTTTAACCAATTTATTTTTAAACAATAGGAAAATAAATATTGTGAACATTTGTAAATGAGAAAAATCCTAAATTTCATGCAAACAAAACGGGCACTAATCACTGCACAAGGCTGAGAAAGAATCGAAGGGGTAAAACGTAACCTAAGTAATTCAGGTGAAGCTAGAGGTAAAAATGCCATTATGTCTTTATACAAGTGTATGAAGCCAGAGGTAAACATGCCGTTATGTCTTCAAAATGATTTATTCAAGTTTATCAGGAAAATAGTTTTGAATAGATTGAAGCCGTGCCTACCATATGAGGGTGAGCCAAAGCTATTTAAACATATTAGTGCAGTACCCGTGCAACGGAGAAAAAAAATCAAAATTTTTGTCGGCGTCTGTCGTCGCTTAATCGCTCTTTAGGGAGGTGAAAAAGCTACAACACTCACATAGAATTTTGTAAATATCTACCACAAACAAAACTTTGCAATTAAGAAACATCAATTATTATGCAAATAAAAAATAGTTATGTACTCTATAATTGATTGTTTTCATATACAGCAATGCATACATCAACAAAATTGATGAGTTATAGATTATCCTACCAGAGAGAAATCATCAAAAAAAGAGAAAAAATTTCTGCGCTCAATACTATCCAGAATAATTATTAGCAGCTCTGGATGCGCTCAATCAACAATAAGATATGTTCATATACAGCAATACATACAACAACAATAGTGATGAGATGCATAATGTGTTACCAAAATAGAAATGGTCAAAAAATGAGCTAAAGTTGTTGCGCCCAATACTATCCAACACAATCAACAGCACCCTACAAAGGCAAAAGAAAAAAAAAACATGAAAGAAAAAATAAATACGCTGAAAAAAAAAACAATTATGAAAAAAGAATGTATGACAAAAGAAAATAGGCATGTATAGAGAATAAATATATGTATATTAGATTATTTTTTACATATTGTGATATTATATAATTAAAATAGCTTGATAATTGTTATAAAAAAAAATAAAAAAATAGCTTGATAATAATTATGAATTAATGACTCTTGAGTAATGTTTAACATGGTTACTGAGAATCAGTCAACTTGAATTTAATTTTGATTCGTCGTCCGTAAATGATTTTTATACCTGATGATATATTTATGGTTTTGATTAAAATTTTCTCATGCTATAGACATATTTTATGTGGAGTTCACATTTATTAAAAAAATAAAAAAGTAAAAGAAATTATTACACGAAAATCAAAAGATCATTACTAGAAAAAAAAAAAACAAATCTCCGACGATATGAGAAAATATTTTCCCTATATTTATATATTGTTAAAGATTTTGAGGTTAGAGTATATGAAGAAAAAAAAAAGTTTGAGGTTTGACAAACATTTATACTCGTTAACTTTTAATGACAATAAGAATAGTAACAGTTAATCTTAGTTTGGTGTTAATAAATTTATAATTTCCAGTTTATAATTTGTTAAAACTTAAAAGGATGAGAAAGGTGACTGACACACAGACACACTAGTTACTCATTTCCGTTCGTGTGTCTATGAAATCAAAACCAAACTGGAGTCATAGTTAGAGAAGAGGAGTGCAAATGTCAGGGCGCAAGCATCTAGGGTCCTCTCGTGCTCTCTCCCATTCTTCCTCCTCCCCCGCCGTCCGGGCCCTTCCGGTCGCCGCCCTTGAAGACCGCTTCATCGCTCGCCACCGCGAGATCCAGTCTCTCCTCCTAGACAACCAGCGCCTCGCCGCCGCCCACGTCGCCATCAAGCAAGACCTCGCTGTCACCCAGCAGGAGCTCCGCAGTCTCACCGCCGCTGCCGCCAACGTTAAGGCCGAGCGCGATGCCGAGGTGCGCGAGATCTACGAGAAATCGCTCAAAATGGACGCCGAGGTCCGCTCCATCGCCGCCATGAGCTCCGAGCTCGATCAGGTGCGGGCAGATGTACAGGAGCTCGCCGCGTCGCGAAAGGAGATAGCTTCAGAGCTGCAGTCGGTCGAGAACGACCTCGCGAGGGCACGCGCCGAGTCACAGTATGTGCCTCCGATCAAGGCTGATATAGAGGCCATGCGCCATGAGATTCAACGAGGAAGGTATTCTGTTTATTTAATTGCTTGTTTGTGTCACAGTTTGAGCATAATGGCTTTGATTTTACATTGAGATTCAATGAGGTCACAGGTTTCGCCTTGTGTGAACAGACTCTTCAAATATGCAATATAAGGCTGCCTACCAAAGACGATTGTTTTGGCACTTGAGGTGCTCCTGACTAAACACAGTAGTATGGGTCCTTGCTCTAAATGGTTTTACTGAAATTTTGATTTTTTTTGATTGGGCCTAATGGTGTCTATCAATGTTGCTAACCCCATCTACTGGGATAAAATTTGGTTATTATTGTTATATGACACTCCCAATAGGTAATACCAAGATAACTTAATAATGGATCTGCATTTAAATTCATAACATCAAAGAGGCCCTTTG